AAAAGCAATGAATCTATTTGCAGGTTTTTGGGTAGGATTGGAGTGATTTTAGCTTCTAAAGGGGATTTTATCTTTCTTTGTAGACATAAATCTTCATAGTTAAGGTGAGTGTTTGTTCTAATTTTTTTTTTTTTTTTTAAGTAAAAATATATTAGAAAAACGTTCAAAAGGGGAACGCGTCCCTAATACGAGAAGAAAAAAGATCTAAGGACCAATAGAATCGAAGAGATCAACGAAATCATCAATCGAGGAGCATGCATTTCCTTTTACATAACAAAATAAAGAACGAATAATATGAATTTTTAAATTAGCTAAAGACGATTCTTTTCATTCAAATGATCTGTTATTTCTCTCACGCTACAAACACCACCAGACACAATGTGGAATAATCCGCCAATAATCACGAGCTTATTCTTTAACAGGACACCTTCTCGCGTTAATCAATTGTGAGGAGTGCTTAGGCATTACCCAAAAAAAGCCAAACATGCAAAAAATTAAAGCTCCAACAATCATACACCACAGGACAATGCAAAAGAATATGATCCACAGATTCACTATCAGCTTTACATAAACAACACCAATTAATAATGATGTTGGCTCTCTTTCTCAAATTGTCCAATGTCAAAATCTTTCCCAATGTGGTAGTCCAAACGAAGAATGCAATTCGAGGAGGAGCTTTAGAATGCCAAACAAACTTCCAAGGAAACTCGTGACCAACGAAATTGGACAAACACAAGAACATGGATCGGACACCATACCCACCATGAGCTAAAAGAACCCACAAAATATCATCACACCCTCTACCAATATCCTTCTGCCTATACAACGTATTCAAAAAAATACAAGCTTCCTCCATTTCCCAATCCTGAAAAGGGCGCCTAAACCGTACATCCCACGTAACTCCATTGTTATCAAGTTGATAACAATCAATCACGTACACATGCTTATTGGCTGCAATACTGTAAAGTCTAGGAAAGGAGTGAGACAACAACTGATCTCCGCACCAAAGGCCCTCCTAAAAACGGACATATCTGCCATCACGAACTTTGAATCTAATGTGTGTGGAGAAAACATCCCAGCCCTTTCGAATGAATTTCCACACACCAATGCCTCCCGTAATAGTGACTGGAAGAGATGACCAGCCCCCACTCTCCTCACCAAAACGACATGAGACAACTCCTCTCCACTGACGATGGCATTCCTTTCCAAATCTCCATAACCACTTTCCCAAGAAAGCACGATTAAAAGGAAAGATTTTTCAAATGCCTAACCTGCCTAACCTCAACGGTTGGCAGACATGATCCCAATTAACAAGATATACTTAAACTCCTCTCCCCTTCCACCCTAGAGAAAATCCCTCTGAATTTTTTCAATCCTTTCAGCAACAGAGTATGGAATTTCTTATGTACTTTGTTTCAATTCTACTTTGGAATTTTGTATGTTTAACATTTCTCCCAATGGAAGTAATGGTTTTATTACTGATGCATTTTATTTTCTCAAACTCTTTACACAATATATATACATATATATATATATTATATGAAATCCAAAAATTAGCAAGTTATGAGCTAAGGACTTTTCAATAAGAATCAAAGGAGGCTACAAGAGTTAATAGAAGCATCGATCACTATGACTTTTCATGCTGAAGTAAGTTTCAAATTCGTTCAAATATTATTTTTTTGCATCGTGTCTTAGTAATTTTTTAATAGAGCCAAGTGCTGAAATCATTAAATGTAATAAACTTTTTTTTTTTTTTTTTTAATACAGAATGTGATTGAAGGATCGATTGTTGCTGTTAAGATTTTGTACAAACGAGGGGTGCTAATGTATGTTCAAAATTTATGGCTATGTTCTTATTTTGCAAAAGATGTTCGTTCAAATATTATTTTTTTGCATCGTGTCTTAGTAATTTTTGGTGCTGAAATCATTAAATGTAATAAACTTGTTTTATTTATACAGAATGTGATTGAAGGATCGATTGTTGTCGTCAAGATTTTGTATGAACGAGGGGTGCTAATATATGTTCAAAATTTATGGCAATGTTCTTATTTCGCAAAAGATGTTTGTTTCTTTTTGAATTTAGTGATTTAGTTGGGAACTTTTTTAATATTCATGGTGGCTTTAAATATTTTGTAAACACGGTACTAGACTTGAAGTTTTTTGTTTAATGAAAAGTAATGGAATTTTGTTATTCTCATTAATAGTCTTATGTTGTATATGGTGATATGATATGATGTGTGCATTTTTTTTCATATTGAAGACATGCATCATTTATGTATTAAACACAGGTGTAGTTCCGTTAGAAAGAAAATGGATTTTATATTTTTTTTTTAATAAAAAATATCACTTTTAACGACATTCAATGCATGCCGTCAAAATAAATAAAAATATTAACGACACATTAAAGGGTAAACACAAACATAACATGATTTACATGTCATTAATGCATGAGTTAACGAATTTCAAAACACGACTGTTTAACAAGTGCGTATTGACGACACACGGGAAGAGTCGTAAATATTTAAAAGAAACAGTCATTTGGTTGTTTAACGACGTCACATTTTATCATTAAGGACTTATAAAGCACATCGTCAATAATATAAACTTTTCACGGCTCCTTCAGTAAGAGCATGAGTCTGCATATCGTGAAAATCCTGTAACGACTTGCATCGCATGTCGTCAAAAGCCTTTTTCCTTGTAATGGTACTTGAGGGCGGATTGCTCTAGGTTTTGATACTCAAGGATGGATCACATCGCTCGAGGTTTTAGCACTTGAGGACGGATCGCTCAAGGTTTTGGTATTCGAGGATAGATCCCATCGCTCGAGGTTTTAGTACTTGAGGGCGAATCACTCAAGGTTTTAGTACGCAAGGATGGATCGCATCGCTCAAGGTTTTAGTATTTGAGTGCGGATTGCTCAAGGTTTTCATATAAGATTAGTATATGAATGGGGTTTTGTAGCCTAGCAAGGTGTTTGGGTCAAGTGGATAGTGAGATACACTATTGCATATATGATGGGTAACACAAGTGAGTGCGAGAGAGTTGGCACCAGTGAGTGCGAGAGGGTTGGCACTAGTGAGTGCGCAAGTCTAAATACGAATAAGTGTGCGAGCCGAGTAGGATAACGTGAGACACTACTACATAAATGATGGTGCGTACAAGTGACTGTGAGAGTGTTGGCACTAGTGAGTGCGCAAGTCGAAATGCGAGTGAGTGTGCGGGCCGAGTAGGATAACGTGAGACACTACTGCGTAAATGATGGTGAGCACAAATGAGTGCGGGAGCGTTGGCACTAGTGAGTGCGCAAGTCGAAATGCGAGTGAGAGTGCGAGCCGAGTAGGATAATGTGAGACACTACTGCAAAAATAGTTATAAGGACAATGCTGCTAAAGAGAGTTGGGAGCGATGCATCTGTACCTTGTTTGGAGGCAATAGTTGAATTAATATTATTATTATTATATCAAGTCTTTTGTAATGACTAAGAAAAGAAACCAAGTCTTTTGTAATGACTATGAAAAGAAACGTGCTGGTTAATACACTTAGACTAACGGGTTGCATGGGTAGTTATAGGTAGATGGCTATATTCATGAGTTTTAATAGGTGATCAGTAATTGAGCATGCATATATATATGCCAGGAAATACACAAGGGTGTTTGTATATAGTGTTCAAGCCACAAAGAACAAAATGGCCAGGCCTTTTTTCTGAGCATAGCTCCGGCTGTTGGGACTTCTATAAAGGAGCTGGTCTAGTATCCATAGAATGAGAATGAGCACTGTTTACTATATGTTCTGCTTCGAGAGTTTAGTTCCATAGTGGATGATGTTGTGCGAGCCATCGGGCGCCTTACCCATGTAGCGTTATGCTACCGTATTTTTAGTGTTTGGGTGGGGAATTTCAAACCCATGTCGAGCCATTTGTTTATAAAACAAAATGGACCACACTAGTATTGTGTATTATAAAGTGTATCGTTGACCCAATACTGTAAGAGTAACCTATATGATTATATACAGAGGGGAGTGATTGCCCATTGCAAACAGTGTAAGAGCTGTGCTCGTTTAAGAGCGTGAAGAGGTGCTAAGCTTGAGGACTTGCGGGGCAAGGCTCGCATTGATAGGTAGAGGCTCAAAGGAGTTCAAGGGACAAAGGTCCTTTATCATGTGATGCGGTAATAGATTGAGGGTCCTGAGTTTAGCGAGGACCCAACTAGTTCAAGGGGTGGAAGAGGGAATGTATGAGTTTGAGGAGCATGGTACTGCTATGAAAGAATGCATTGTTGAGGTCGGGCTCAAGGGGTGAATGACCGCTTTGTTTTTATTTTTTATTTTTTTTATAGTCTCAAAGGTGATATGTCTCGAGAAGTACTCCTCGGATAAGAAACTTTTCCAAGTATTTTGTAGTCGAAGTTGCTAGGAGCTTGAGAGAGAGAGTGTGCACGAGTTAGCCAGTATGGGATTGATTTTGAGGGGCTTCAAGTGCATGGGTACAAGTGTGGTATGAGGTGTACCGTGTATGTCTAAGTTTGACTTCGACGAAGAAGCAAAAAAATATGCCCACACATCTTGAGCCACCTCAACTATTTTTTGAGACCCAATACCCATGTAATAAGGCGGGCTCGGCCAGTAGTAGCGAGCACCATTTCTAGTAATAGCAAGCATTTGTTAGTCCTCAAGGGGTATAAAAGCGTGTGGGTTTGGGTGGAGCACGTGGGTTCCATGTTGTTTATTCGAAGTGATGTGAGTGAGCTTGGAGACAAAATGAGTTGCAAGGTTTCTCGAAGCTATGAGTGAGCTTGGCAACAAATTTAGTTGCAAGGCTTCACTTTGAGAAAGGTATCGATGTATTGGTTCGAGACACTGAGTAGCTAAAAGGTGTCTTGATAGCTAATGTGTCAAGAACATATAACAGTTACAACAAATAACAAAGAAACAGTATATGGATCTTATACAAGGCAATTGAACTAATCGAACAGGTCAAAAAAAACTCAAAGATCATGAATTACCTTCTTCCCAAGTGCCGCCTGTTTTACAAATGGATTTTCGAAACCCGTCATTGTCAGAAATGATGACTGAAAACTGACTCCACGCAATCCCGACTCCATCCCACTTATTTTAGCTTCGGAAAAACAATTTTTTGTTGGATTATAAGACACCAAATGCCCTTTCCGGGCTGAAAACAGAATTTGCTTGTCTTTCAATATGGTGACAGGATGCAGCTCCCCGATCCCATTCGGAATTATCTTTTTCGATATTTTGTAACTTTGGGTCCAAGACTCCCCGTTCCCATACTCTTTCATACAATAGATCTGCAAGTATGAGTTTGAGACAAAAACCAGATACAGGGTATTTTGTATGCTCTCAACAATCATAGTTTTCCGGCTACTCTGTTTTAGAGCCTTCGGGGGTGGAACTGAGTTAAAGGTTTCATCTTTCACATGGAAAGAACATATGAATTCAGGGATTCCATCGTCGTCAACTATCCAATGCATCATCCCATTCACAACTGCCCCAAGTCTTTTATGTCGATCGAGTGGAAAAGGTGCATTCCCCACATTTTTCCAATGGTCTGACCCTAGGGAATACACTTCTGCCACTGAATTCATGCGTTGCTTTTTAATCCTCAAGATTTTATATGCATTATTGTCAATGTAACACCCAAACCCAAATGCATATTTCGATCCTGATCTGGAGAGCAATTCGGGTACCCCAAAATACTCACCCAACATGGGATTAGTTACGTAGATGTGATCCCTCTCACGGTCAAAAATGCATATTATTCCATTTGATGATCCTATCAAGCTAAAGCACTGATCTGGGAGGAAATATTCCTTACTCACCTTAACTGGCCAGTATGGTTGATTGTCTTCGGTATCAATTATATTGAAACTGCCAGTTTGGTATTGTATGATTACCTCGCTAGAGCTTGCAGCTATGTCGAGTCGAGCACAATTCAAAGCCATCCCTGAAACTATACCATTCCATTTTTTGTTAACCAGTCGACAATTCATGAGTCCCCGAGCTGGAAGACGTTTAAGAATATTAACCACTATGGCATCATCCGTAAAAATAGCATGAACTTCTCCCATTATCTTCAAACACACTAGAAAGGTCGTTCTCAAATTTAGTAAAAGATTGATCGCAGTGAATCGTCCCTCTCTCTGATCTTTCCAAACCCTAGGAAATCCTTCATAAATATTCAAAAAGAAGATAAGATGCCTTAATAGTGTCTTACATTGATTCCAGTTAAACCTAAGAGAACACAATGTAAACCTAATCTCCGAATAGTTAAAATAATCTTTCAGAGTAATTCAAGATTCATTCCAGTAAATAATTTAAAAAACTCAGAGAGAGAGAGAGAGGGAAATTACCTGATTGACGCTGTTGACGGTGAAATCTGATTGCTGCCACTGTCAGTGAAAGTATTCAAGCGCCGTCCAGTATCGGCAATTCCATGCCGAAGGAACTCGTCGCTGTGTTGCTGAATTGTGAGTAGGTGAATTAAGAGGATTGAGAGGCTTGGACTTCTTGATTCACATAACTGGGGTGTGTGAGAGATGAAATCGAGGGAAATAGTAAAGTAAGAGTAGGATCGACCCGCCCCATTAGGGAGATTTGGTACTGGGTTTGAGAATCCAAAATGGGTTAGGGGCGAAAGGGTGATGAACTCGTCTCGTCCCACTCAAGTTCCTGCTTATGCCCCTATTATTTAGGCTATGTTCGGTAGGGTTGGTTTGAAGGGGAAGGATAAGATTAATTATGAGGAAAAGGGAAAGGATAATTTTAATTTGGTACTGTGTTTGGTTGATTAAGGAAGGAAAAGAAAAGGAAGGATAATAATCATATTTGGGGAAAGAAAGGGAAGGAAAGTATTTCAGTAAATTTACTATTATACCCTTTTATATTTTAAAATCAAAATTTATAAACTTAAGTATGTAATATTTGTAAAAAAAAAAAAAAAAAAAGTACATGTAATATAAATATAATATTTTTAGGGCTAATCTATTTAGCGTCCCCGCCTCCATCTCTATTCTCGTTCTCTCTCTGCAACTCTCTCTCTCTCTTCTGCAAGTGTAAACTACAAAACTACAAGAATCCAAGTTCCAAACCCATATGTTTATCTATCTGTCTGCAAGAATCAAAGGTTCAAAACCCATATCGGCATATTGTTTCATATTGTTCCAAATATCAAAACCCATATCTTTCAGTTTCCATCGCCCGCTGTTCCAGTTCGGGTTCGCCGTTTCCATCGCCAGCTGTTCCAGTTCGGGTTCTCCGTACGCAAGTTTCAGCCATTGACCCGCTATAAGCTTCCCCCTCTTTCTTTCTATCTGCAATGGCTAACTTATATGTATGGGTTTTGTTTTGCTAAATCAACCAATCAAGGTCTGTAATTCTTGTTTTGCTAACTAAATCCTTGATTTTGTGTGGGTAAAATTGGCATCACAAGTATCACATGTGCCATTGCCTTCCCTTTCCTTCCATTTCCTCCCATTTTTGGGAGGATAAGTAAATTACTGTGCAAAGCTATACTTAAACCCTCCTTAGCCTTCCCTCTCCTTCCCTTTCATTTCACCCATTTTACCCAAACACAACTTTTTAATCACCCTCCATCACCTTCCCTTCCCTTTCCTCCCATTTCCACCCTACCAAACTGAGCCTTAAGTACCGTTAGAATTTGTATATGTATATATATATATATATTTAATATTCTTAAGACTGTTATTACTTTGTCGGTTAATATATTATTATTCGCTATTTGGTAATTTAAAAACTGGATAATCTTATTTATCAGTCCAATTTGAACACATTAGGTAAGTATTTTTTTTTTTTTTTCTACATAATCAAAGTGTACATAACCTGCCTTACTCCGTAATTAAACAGAGTACATGGGGCGGACTCGGTACTTTATCTATCGAAATAGGGATGAGGATGGTATATCAATTAAAAACCCGTCCCGACTCCGCCTGTTACCATCCCTAATCAAGAGAGAGACACATGAATGGAAGCTATCCTTTAAACTCATGGACCCTAGTTAGACAAGCGAATACGTGAATCGGTCAATGGTCAACGGTCAACGTGGAACCTTTATTAGTTCAGTTCTAAATCACATAAAGCGAGAGCGGAAGAAAGAGCGAATTCGAAAGTGTGAGCGTAAAAGCGGCAAAATTAAATCACAAATAGTGAAAATGGGAGTGAGAGCGTGCGCAGAGTGTAAGAGCAGAAGCGCGCTCGAAGCATGAAAGCGGAATCGGTTGAGAAGAATTGTGTGACTGAAGTTCAGTTTGCACAACGAGGCTATCCAAGTTCATTCACTTTTCACTTTTGAGATCCACCTAGGATTAAGGCTGCAACTCGGGCGGGTTGGGTAGGTTTGAGATATAACTTGAGTCCAACCACCATATAAAATATTAAACTCAAGCCCAAGCCAAATCATAACCCTATCCTCAACCTTAACTACTCAACTCTAGCCCAACCCATCCTTCTACTTTTAAATTCGGACTTACAACTCTGACTTAGATTTCGAGTTAATTCGGGTTACTCATATGGTTAATCTTTATACCAAAAATTTAATATGATCTTGAATTAGTTTTAGATTAAATTACTATTAAACAAGAAGAAGTTTAAAGATTCTTTGTAGATTTTTAATAAATTACAAACAAATTTTTAGAAAATTAATTCTCCTTAATACTAACATACAATAAGTCAAAATTTAACAAAAAAAAAAGTTGAAAAGAAAAAAAGTAATCATAGTTTAAATTTTATATATAATATATTTAAAAGTAAAAATATATATGAAAATAATATTATAATTCGGGTTCGGGTTGGCTCAGGTTGCTAGCACTCCAACCTAAGCCCAACCCTAATTATAAAAAAGATTGCCCAAACCCGTGAAAAATCGGGATGGGTTCGAGTTACCCAACCCAAGTTGTACCCCTACCTAAGATGGCAAAATACTAGTCCGTCGGGTAGCCATCCCACCCGCCTCATTTAGAATGGTTATGGGGTAGTTAAATAAATTTTAGAACCGAAATGAGGATTATAATTGAAAACTCGCATAGTTATGGAGAGGGAATGGGAAAAGGTCACCTCCACTCCACCCCGTCCTGATAAGGGCTAAATGTAGTACTTGTGCTATTTTTTTTATTTTTGTCATTTTTAGGTAATCTCCAGAAATTCAGCCAATTTCATTGCTTTTAGGGTTTGAGTTCAATCAATGGATGGAGATCGCGAGATCTAGAGTATCCAAGGTGATCCAATAGCAAAGATCATTCAAGGATAGGGACGGAAGGAGTTAACGGCTGGGGTCATGTGCCCCCTGGATTTTCTCCCTCTCTTATATTATATATATATTTTTTATAATAATATATATATTTATGAAAATATGGAAAATGCCCCACCTGAATTTTCTCATTCCTTCGTAGAATTCTATATATGTTTTATATTACTTTCTCCTAAATTGTTTCTTTAATTCTTATATTCTATAACTGTGAATTAATTTCATTCCAAAAATATCACTCTTTTTTTTTTTTTTTTTATTACCATTATATATTATTAACAGGGAATTGACAAAACTAGACATGTTTTTAATAGAAATAAACTAAAACCAAAATTGTTAGGCTTTTCTTCTATATGCATACAAAAATTCTTTCCTATCCGTTCAGCTAGGAAATTCGCAAAGCATACCAATTAAAAAAAAAAAAAAAATTTATTTCCCCCTTCGACCAGAAGGTTGAAACATAGAAGGCAACCATCATCTGAAAATAATAAAACCAATAGCGTTTGAAAAAATAAATCCATTCTCTTAAAACCAATAGTGTTTGAAAAAATAAATTCATTCTATTCTGTAGGTGCAAAAATTCGTCAATTACAATAAATTGAAGAATAAAAACAAAACGCTCAAAATAGTAAAAACAATAAACAATAGATGTTTAGAGAATTTGTCGAAGATCTTTATTGAAAAAACATGCCTCTATATATACAAGATTTTAATGGTAAATTATGGTAAGAATCATCTTGCTTGTTTGTCACGTTTGATTCACCATTATCCTTTGTCATTATATTCCATGTAAGGCATTTTTTCTATATAAGATTCTTTTTTCGTATAAAATTCTTCCATGTAAAGCTTTTCTTCTATGCAAGGTACTTGCTTCATATAGATTCTTCCTTATGAGGTTCCCTTGATAACGTAATTGACTTGATCCGAATCATGGAAAATCTTTATCCTAGCTGCATATTTGACTGAGGATGGATAGAGTTAATTGGTGTTGGGCTGATGATAATCCTTCCACAGTTTACCCCCAATTCCCTCCTAATTTGAGTAACGGTCTCTAATTAGAAGGAAATTGAATTTGCTCAGTTTCCAAAAGTGTAAGAGGCGGTTTTGGAAGTGACTATTAACATTCTGACCACAAAACTTCTCTAAAGCTTTCTCTTGCCTTCCCTGTGTTCGCAGCCTCGTCAATTTCTCAAGTCAGTTTATACTTTTATTGTTGCTTTCATATCACGAACACTTCACCCAATCACGATCAAATATAAATTATGGATTCTGAAACTACCCCTTCGGCATCTCCTGTTCTTCTTAGAGTTCCACCACCTAGGGTTTCTAACCTTATTGAGGTTACGAGTGATTCTACAGAGAGGGAAGATAATTCTTCACCTCAAGCGGAGGAATGCACTTCTGGATCTACCGATATCTTTACCAAACAAGAAAGAGAAATGATTTTGTCAATCCGATGCCTTAAGTTCACCATTGATTCAGTAATGGAAGAATTTGAGATCCCCGAGGGAGTAGAAATAGTTGAGTACCCCACCAGCTCCGATTTCAGTTCTAGTGAAGGGGTAGGCGAGAATGAACTACTTTTATCTGTCGAACATCTTAATGCCCTTCGTTTTACCCTTCATCCCTTTTATCACTTAGTCTTCAATAAATTAGGTATTGCCCCTCTCCAAGTAAACCCTAATTTTCTTAGAATTGTGTCGGCTCTTCTTATTCGCCGAAGATTAGAAAGTATTGACCTGAATCTCACTGACTTATTGTTTAGCTATACCATTTCTAGACACCAAATCAAACTTGGCCGCTATTATTTCATTTCTTCTCTTTAATAGAGGATATGCAGAGACCTTCCTACTTCTGAGAAGAGATGGAAAGAAAGAATGATTATTGTTAAAGGAAGTGGTCTATGCCTCAGTCAAAGAAACTTCCTATTCCTCCCAAATTTGGAATCCTAGGTATAGAAGACCTTTATTCGTTTAATCCAAAGTGTTCTGGTTGTTTCATTTGCCAGGTTTTGCTATTTCGCAGTATTTATGAATTTCTTGGTGTTTTTTCAGCATCATTTTGACGGTGCCCTTTTTTATGTGTTTAGAAAAGGGACTTTTTAATGCAAGAGGTCGCTTCGCAAGGTCAAAATATGAATGTGGTTTTGGAAGCCTTTCTAGTCAAATTTATATTTATAAAAACCACAACTACAACTAATGAAGTATAGCGAGTAGGGATCATCCGTAGAGATTATACGTGTTGGCATTTAACTTCGATTCTAGCGTATCAAAAGATTGCAAAGGAGGTTTTGGTTGAT